GGCTGCGATTTATTAGTGTAATTAACTTAAACCGAGTCAATCCAGGCAACGTTGGTCGTGGTTGGCTTGTTCAATTAGATTTCACAAATTTTCAACGTAATGAAATAAATTTTTATTACAATCGAATCATAATCAGAAAAGAAAATTAAGCGGAACAGTAATCTCAGACCGTGAAAGAAAGTGACTTTCATGATGTCTTACGGATATATATAAAAATAAAATATTATATTTCATCGTATTCACGACTAATATATTAAATAGTGGCTACTACTTCTGAACTCGTCAAAACGATCGTAGATTAATCATATTTATGCTGACACACAAATAATATAGTTGCCAATTTTTAATATAGTTCTTTTGAATAACTAACTTTTTCTATATTTTTAATATATGTTTGGTTTATGTAATGTTTAGGTGAGATACCAATACATTGAACCCTAAGCCATTCTATTTAGTTCTTACATATATAATGATAACATGCATGATAAACTTATCCATATAGATCAGATTATAAGTTCCCTTTCTATAACGTTACTAAAAGTTTATATTTCGTCGTAGACTTATAGTCCTTGGTAATTTCGGGGATTTTGGCATAATAGAACAAGGTATTACTACCTTTTATATCCTAAAATAGATTTAAGTCTCTAACTTAATTAGCAATACAAGGTTATGGATTTGATTAATAGAAAGTGGACACGCACGTATATTGTGGTTTACCGATTTTATGTATTGGATCGCATGATTCACATTTATGTATATTACAAAAACTAAGTTAATAATGTGTGATAGTGAGATCAAGTTATTAATTACCATCGCTCGTGTATAGTAAATGAAACACATTAGCAATCCTCATGATCTACCCAACAAGAAAAAACACTAATCATTCATCCTTCATATCTAGATGAATATTAAAAAGTCAACTTTTTGGTGATCCATGTGAATCGCACGTGCCAAGTACAATCGTATCATGCTAGATAGAGAAAGAAGGTTGGAAAAAAGAATGTGAGAAGGTGAAGCTGGCACTTACGAAAACGTTGTGTCCATCATTACGAAACTACTTCTGAATTTTCATTGTTAGCTACTATTATGATTACATTTATTTCCCCACTATTTATTGTATTTGTAATGTTTATACAAGGCAGGCCACGTTCATGTTTTTATATTATAAAGTTTCCTCTATAAGGCAGGCCACGTTCATATAATTTTTTTTTGTGGAGAAAAGTCAATTAAGGTTTAGTTTCCTTTTTTCTGGATTTAGCATGTAAATTATTAATGTTTTGGTTGATCCTAGAGATCTAACTTTTTCTTTCCTCTCAACTTTACTAGTAGTGGCACACCACAATCCACCCATAAAGTTTTATTGCTTTTTTTTTTCCTTACTGGAATATGGATTTTTTTACTATAAATTATAATGGACTCATACCAAAAAAAAGAAAAGAAAAGTAGAATAGATTTAACATGCAACAAAAAATCAATAGAACCTATATTAGTATAATTTACCAACAAAACGTATATTTTAGCATTTGTTTTCTCAACAGTGAAATTAATTAATAGAACATTTAAAGTTTATTC